CGTCCCATCTACCATACGCGCGTCCTTGAAGTTGACGGCCGAATCTGATTCGAGATGGAGACAAGAAACTAGCGATGAAGAGACGAACGAGTGGCTAGCTCCGCTATCTACGAGAATCTTAACTGGAACTCCACGAAGCTTCCCTAGAAGCACGACTGGACGATCAACAGTGTCTACCTCGTTCGGCGTAGATGACTGCTCTAAGGCCATCTCCTCTACGTTGGTAGACTTGGCGGGTTCGGAAGCACTCACACCAGCTAGCGACCCGCTATCTATTGGCGGTTTCCGTTTCCCTGCTGCTGCTCCTTAAGCTGTGGGCAGTCCCGCTTCATGTGTCCCGGCTTTTTGCAGTAGTGACAGTTCCCCCTAAATCCCGTTTTCTGTGAGCCGTCACTGTTAACTGCACCAATCTCCATAGGCGACGGTCCGTCCCTCGATCGAGTGTCGGTGATCGGTTTGTATCCCCTATCGCGATCGTCACGACCCCGTCGGCTTCGTACTGCGTCGACGCGTTCTGCTGCTGCGACTACCGACTCGAAGGTGGACAACCCGTGAATTGCTATGATCTCCGCTATGTCCGGCTTCAACCCTTCGAGGTAGCGATCGCGCATCTCTGCTTCCGTGATATCGTCGATCTCGTTGCAGATGCTCAAGAACCGTCATGTGTACTCCTGGACGTTTCCTATCTGTCGGAAATGACGCAGACGCTTCCTAGCAGCTCCGGAGGCATTCACCAAGTCGAACCTACTTTTCAGCGCCGCTTCAAATCCTTCCCATGTCGTCGGAACCGTGGTAACACCCAAAGCTAAACTTCCTAAGCTCGAAGTTGCAGCTGCATGCCCCTCGCCCTGTTGATGCCCGTCCAAATGAGCCCTTCTTACAGCAGTTTGCGTGAGTTGGCGCCACCACTCCAAGGCCGGGCCCCTCAGCAGCGTAACGGAGTACTCGATCCGCTGCGGCGCGTCCGCCTCTTGCACCCCGCTTGCGGCGAAGTAGTTGTTGAGCATGAAGATCCACGTCCGCACGTTTGCGTCGCGTTGGTTTGGGTCGAACGGCTCGGGTTTCTGCGGCTTGAGCGCGCTTCGACGTTCCGGCAGCGCTTCCGCGCCAGTCGACGTGTTGGGTGCAGGAGATGGTGCGGCATGACTATGAGAAATTGACGCGAATTCACGAAGCTGTTGCATTTCAGCCCGTACCTGATGATTTTCCAGCGTCAACGTTTCGAGTTGGCGCATGAGCTGAGCAAGCGTGTTGCCCATGTCGTTGGGGAGAGCGGTCATGGTTTCATCCATGTCGGCTCGACGACTCCAAGTCTGCAAGTCGGCACCGCGGGACAATGACGTCGTAGTCTCGTCGTCGACGGTCGCTCGTTGGAAGTCGCTCCCCGCGAAGGCTCTGATACCAAGTGTTAGGCCCCTTGGCCTAAATCCGCTAAAGATAGCGGGGTCGACTAAGTCGAGGATGAAACGCGGCGGAAGACTTTGGCGAAAGAACTATTGGCGAAAGATGCGAATGAGTTACTGAGTAATTGAAGAGTTTAATGAGAATTGGTTGATAATGGCAAGTACAAGCAAGATTTAAGTAGCATGCAAGAGCGATTGTTGGAAAGTACTTCGTGGGACTAGAAAGTAGAAGGCAAGAAAGCTAGAGTGCCACGTGGCACCAAGAAATCTTGGAAATCTTGGATGAGTTGGATGAAGATAAGGTTGGGATGAGGTTGGGGTACTGTTTAGGGTAAACCACCCTTGAACAGTAAAATACCCCGTAACACTTGTCTTTATATTTTTATATGCTCGAAAACCTTGATTGGGCTGAGAGAATTGCTTCATCGCTGGGACGGGGAATCTTGGACGTTGAACCATTTGTTTCGAAGGAGAAGATGTGCGGGGCGGTATCGCGGCCATTTGCGGCCGGTTGAGAGGGTTGGGAAGATGTTCCCGCGTCACCATTCCGCAATGTCTGGAGCCCTTGCTCCAGAGTCGAAAGTCGCTGAAGCAGTTGTTCGAGTGCGACGGTACTGATGGACGTCGTCACCTCGTTTGTCGCAGCCGGGTTAGTCTGCGCTTCAGCGATCATATTTGTCTGACCTCCAGATCCTCCGGCTATCCTTACGCGTGAGCGTGTGCCGGACGCCACCTTAATTTGCTGAAGTTCTGGGGGGTGGCAGTGCGAAGGATGTCAGAAGTAGTAGTAGAAACAAGAATGAAGAAAGGAGAGGGTTTCACTAGCAAGCAGTTCGATAAATATAGCAAACCCTAATTGGGCTGTACTCACTATGGAGTACCCCACTGCAGGCTAGACAATTATAACATTCTGACAAAGGATTCCTGAGTCGCTCTCATACCATGTTGCGACCAAAAGGTTGATCGTGCCTAGGATCACCGCAGGAAGGTTCGCAGAGAGTGTGTTGTAGCGGAAGAATTGACCTCAGGTCAGAGTGGATTTAAAATGACTGAGATGAATAAAAATAGCAAATACATAAGTCTATATAAGAGTACAAGAGGAATTCGAAACGACCTAGACTAGCCATGTACTCTAAGGGGTACATGTTGAGTGCAATACATGGTTTGCACGGCAACCTACCGCCTATTCGCCGACGGTAATGGAAAATGGGGGAGTTTTGTTTGAAGGTAATTTGTGTCGTGTGAGTTGTGCATTTCATTTTGTATTTTGTGTGTGCGCATTTTGTGTGTGTTCTGTGCGCACTCGTCCTCTCATTTTGTGTGTTTCGTTTTCACTTGTAATTGCATTTTGTGTTTGTGCATTTTCATTTTCGTTTTCACTGTTCTCATGAAGCGCTCAAATGAGGCTCACATGATGCGCTCAAATGAAGCTCTCATGAAGCGCTCAAATGAGGCTCCCATGACGCGCTCAAATGAAGCTCTCATGAAAGCTCAAATGAAATCTCTCATGAAGCTCAAATGAGCTTCCCATGAAAGTCCCATTTGTTTTCATGTTTCATGCGTGTCCCATGCGAGCGGGTGGTGTACCGTGGGAGGTTCCTGTGGGGCTCGATACTTTGACTCATCAAAGGGGGTGCTGTTGACTTTCGCGCTGGTCAAGCACGCGAAATCTTGACCGCGCGTGTGGTCCTGATTTCGCGTGTGGGCCCTGAGGGCCCGAGCGTGTGCTCTTGCACTGTTGCGAGCGTGGCAGGGCCCACGATCGCAACAGGACAGGGCAAATGATCGCCCTGCCCACGCGCAGTACAGCACGACCAGTTTGTCTGGTCGTGCATGATTGCGCACCTGAGGGGTGCGCGTGTGTTTCGAGTGGGTTCTGCGGGATTCCGAAGGGTGCTCGGAATTTACAGTTGAAAAACTGTTTTTCGGAGTTGACTCACGGAACAAGAAATTGCGCACGAAAGTCACACCGCTTTGCGGAATGATTTCGACGCAGGTACAAAACGGTTATTCCGTTTTCTCAACGGTAAAAACCGTTTTACAACTGTTTGCTCGCATGAAATTCATAAGTGCCAAATTCGAGCTACATTGGAACTCATGAGTGCACTCATTTGAGTCAGCAAGGTAATTGTCATATGTGGAATTTGAAGACAGGTATTTTCAAGAGGAGAATCAAGCCAAATTCGCATGGAGTTGAGCAACCGTTTTCCAAGACAGCAAGGCGAAATTCTAGAATGTTGTTAAATAACTGTTTCGCTATTTTCCTTTGCTTGTATGTGAGACGAAATATAAAACGTGTGCCTGTGCTTCATTGTTCTCTATCCTTTCTAGTGGAAATATTTTCTGAATCTCTTCGACGACTTAAGTTGCTCTATCGACGTATTGACGTGAAGAGCTTTTCTGCACACGAGCCAATCCGTCGTCGAATGCTGCGCAACAAAGTTTGGGAAAGCTCTTGTACGCACGATACTTTTCATACTTAGGGAAATCCCGCTTCGAACACGGACCCTTGGATAGGGGCTGGTTCTACCAGGCACCCAAGGACCCTTGGAGGTGACCCCGTGGGGACTACCTAGTGTTGATTAAAGGTGTGTTAAGAGCCTCTTCATCCCAAATAACGGTCAACAAGTGGTATCAGAGCTGTGGTTCTAAGGACTGCCGTTAGAACAACATGGAGTCGAGCGGAAACGAAGGATCAGTGGCACGAGCAAATAGTGGAGTCCAAGATGACGGTGGTTCAGCGCCAAGGGGGGTGCGGACCAGCCGGGGCTCACTGTTGAAGGACGTGCTCAAGAACTTCGTTGTCGACAAGTTCAACGGCAGTGGCTATGACGATTGGGCGTGGAAAATGCAGCTCTACTTTCGGCAAGTCGGATTATTCAAGATAATGACGGGTGTGGAGACGAGGCCAAGCGACCCCGCCCTGCAAGAGGAGTGGGACGAGCGTTCGACCGCTGGCTACTATCTCCTATCTCAGAGCTTGGAGCTGAACCAGCGATCGCATGTGATGCATTTGCTGGAAAAAGATGATTGCGGGCCTCAAGCTTGGAAAGTGCTCAAGGAGTTGCACGCGCCAACTTCGGTGGTTGCAACGCTCACACTTGAGCGTGAGTTGGCGTCTTTGCGATTGAGTGAAGGGGAGCCGATCCAACCAGTGCTGGACAAGATGAGGGAGTTGTACGCCAAATTGCAGGTTGGAGGCATCACCTATCCGGAGCAGACGAAGTGCTTGAAGATGTTGTCATTGCTGACGGATTCATGGATGGTCTTCACGAGTGGCTTGAGCCTTCCTCAAAACCAGAGTCTATGGACCCTTGAGTGGGTTCGAACTAAGATACTTGAGGAGGATTTTAGGAGGAGGCAGCTGAGTCATGATCAAAATGGAGATGGCGGCTATGGAGTCCAAGGTGGCCGTTGGCGCAAGGGAGATGGTCGTGGTCAAGGTGAACGAGGACATGGCGGGAGTGGACGATACAGAAGCAGGCATGATGAGGAGAAGAAGCCGAAGAGCAAGAGTGATGACGAAGATGATGCTGATCGTGGTGGCTACCGTGGGTTCAAGGGCAGCTGCTGGTATTGCAAGAAACCGGGACACACATGGACAAAATGTTGGAAGCGGCCCAAGTGGTGGACTCCCGGATGTGAGGATGATGATGGAGAGGAGAACGGTGCTGGTTATGTAGCAGAGACCGCAATGGAAGGGGGAAAGGATTATGAGCGTGCTACTGGACAGTTTTTCCTTGTGCAAGGGAACGGGGGGAGCGAGAAAGCATCTGCCAAGAAGGGAGCAGAGTCTCCTCTCAACACTTGGATCTTAGACTCCGGAGCAGCATATCACATGACCCCAAGGGCGGACCTGCTGGATGAGATTGGGAAAACAAGCATGATTGAAATGCTTTCAGGATGCGGGCACAAGATGAATGTGATGGGGGTCGGCAAGGCAGCGTTTAAAGGAGCTGATGGGAAGCCGATCTTCCTTGAACAAGTGCTCTTGGTGCCGGAGCTAAAAGGGAACCTCATTTCTCTGAGGCAACTGGGGATTGCAGGTGTTTGCACGGCAACTAAGGGAGCTGAAACGTTTAAGGGACAGCTTGATGGTCGGGTGCTGTGGGACCTGCATGAGGAAAAAGACCTACATGAGGAGCTGTGGCATGTGCCGGTGGTGCCATGGAAGGAGGTGGTACCTGTGAAGCGGAATGCAGTTTGCAGATGCAAGGGGGAGTGTGCTGGCGAGGCTGCTGAAACGATCAAGAAGCTCAAAGTGACAGTGGAGATGCTGGTGCAGCAGTTGAAGCAGGTCAACGCTCGACTAGCAGCAGCCGAAAAGAGAAATGTGTTCGGTGCTGATGAGAAAAAAGGTGCAGATGTCACGGGGAGCATAGTTGAGACTGCTGCTGAAGACAAGGAGAAAGAAGTTCCCAAGAGTGACACTCGTGAGGAGCAGAAATACAAGGCTATGGTGCAGCGGAAGGATGCTGCTAAGAAGGAGAAATCTTTGGTGCTAAATGTGGGAGGTTATGCAGCTGATGAGGCTAAGGAGATTGGTGAACCCAAGGTGAAGCCGGGCTTGAAGGAAGCAGAGATTGCGGGGGAGCAGATGAGTGCATTCCCTAAAACTGGAGTTGGGATAAGCTATGCGGCGGCGCTGGTGAAAGGCAAACGCAAAGAGTTAGTTCAGGAGGGAAAGCAGTTTGGCAAGGATATGAATACTCCTATGCCAATGACGGAAGCAGTGAAGGGAGCAGTTATTTCTAGTGATGTCGTGGGTGGATTCGAATAGTCGGCAGTTGTTGAGTGCAATACATGGTTTGCACGGCAACCTACCGCCTATTCGCCGACGGTAATGGAAAATGGGGGAGTTTTGTTTGAAGGTAATTTGTGTCGTGTGAGTTGTGCATTTCATTTTGTATTTTGTGTGTGCGCATTTTGTGTGTGTTCTGTGCGCACTCGTCCTCTCATTTTGTGTGTTTCGCTTTCACTTGTAATTGCATTTTGTGTTTGTGCATTTTCATTTTCGTTTTCACTGTTCTCATGAAGCGCTCAAATGAGGCTCACATGATGCGCTCAAATGAAGCTATCATGAAGCGCTCAAATGAGGCTCCCATGACGCGCTCAAATGAAGCTCTCATGAAAGCTCAAATGAAATCTCTCATGAAGCTCAAATGAGCTTCCCATGAAAGTCCCATTTGTTTTCATGTTTCATGCGTGTCCCATGCGAGCGGGTGGTGTACCGTGGGAGGTTCCTGTGGGGCTCGATACTTTGACTCGTCAAAGGGGTGCTGTTGACTTTCGCGCTGGTCAAGCACGCGAAAGCTTGACCGCGCGTGTGGTCCTGATTTCGCGTGTGGGCCCTGAGGGCCCGAGCGCGTGCTCGCGCACTGTTGCGAGCGTGGCAGGGCCCACGATCGCAACAGGACAGGGCAAATGATCGCCCTGCCCACGCGCAGTACAGCACGACCAGTTTGTCTGGTCGTGCATGATTGCGCACCTGAGGGGTGCGCGTGTGTTTCGAGTGGGTTCTGCGGGATTCCGAAGGGTGCTCGGAATTTACAGTTGAAAAACTGTTTTTCGGAGTTTTTTTTTTTTTTTTTTTTTTTTTTTTTTTTTTTGAGGTGTAAATATATTATCAAATATAGATACATCCGCAGTCGTAACTGTATATCTTGGAGGGTCTAGGCCACGCCTTGTGGACGCCGCACCGCCCCCCTATGGCATGCTACGGAGGCTGATAGAAAGTGCGCGGGTTGCGCCAGATGGAGAGGAAAGGAGCCGCCCAGATTGTTGGCCCACCATCACCGCAAATCTTCTGAAGCTGCAACTTCTCATCCGCAGCCACATGGCTCCAGTTGTCTGTCTTCCAGAAACTTCTCCCTTCATCGGCCGCTGCCAGCCTTCCCCTTGCTGCCAGCACCACCCTCGCATGCGTCATGAAGTCCAGCACAGCACATCTCCCCACCTTGTTTCTCTCGAAAGGAGCTGCGCGCCAAACTGCATTGCATCGCGCCAACCAGATCTGCCTAAGCACCACTGATGTCAGCGTCATCTCCGGAAAACCTGACGCTGTGCCCTTTTCGCCAAACAGTAGGTCCCCCAGACAGTCCACCGACCTGCCCGGGTTCAGCATGTGCAACGTCCGCTTCAGCGCGCCAATGATCGGTTGTATGACCGGGCAGCTGTAGAGACAATGTGCTAGGGTTTCCTCCTCTCCACAGTGCACACATGCTATCTTGTTCTGGAAGAAACCCAGCCTCCCCCCAACCTGCAGGTTCATGATGTGAACCCTTAGTAGGACGTCCCTCGCCTTGCCCGGTAAATTTATCGAGTCTCTGGTCTCAATGACCTTCCGCCAGTCAATCTTTTTTCCCCACACGTCCTCTCACTCCGCTTGTCTCCAAGAACGCCCTTTCGCCTTGGATAGTGCGGCCCTTACCCCGCGTAGCGGCACCAATTCTCCCCCAGCGAACAGTCCTGGTAGAGACAGCAACCGCACCTTTGGATCTCCCACAGGGCCAAGCAGTATTCCTTTCTGAACCGCCATCGGTTGGAGTCTGCACGCTTCGAAACACGTTTTCTCCGCTCTTGCTTTTTTCCCTATTCTCCCGTCTTCACCGAGGGACATGCTGGACGCGACCACCTTCCTGCCGTCCACCCCGTCCACTGCCCATGGGAGTCTAGCCGGTTGCCCTTGCAGGATGTACCTCACCACTCCCGATGCTTTCACCACAGCTTCGCCCGTTGCCAGCTCCTCGATCAATTTCCTCCACTCCGGCGGCATGGCCCCGTATGCCTTCCTTGCCATGACCGCCGCCTCCTTGCTTCCCAGTTCAATCGTCAGCACCTCTTCTTCTTTCACCCCCCTCCGTCCCCCTGGCCCGTCCGTGAGCAGGTCCCGAACGCGCGTGGTGATGAGGGCCGCTGTGCCTATTTGGTGACCGAAAGGGCTCTCCCCTCGATGCATGATGTTTCTGTTGAAACAAATAAACTCCTCTTCCACCTCCCACCTGCTCCTTGGTGCCGGCAGTGTCGCGAAAGGTGATTTCCAGAACACTTTTGCCGCCGCCTTCCATCGTTCGCTACCGCGCTGCCACTGCTTTATTGCCGACGGGTGCGCGTACAGCGTGGCCAGCCCTTGCGGGAAAGCCGCCGCCTTCTCTGCCAGCCAGCGGCGCGTTCCGTCCGGCTCCTTCAGAAACTTTCCGATCCTGCGGATCGCCAGCCCGTCCAGGCAAAGCTTCGGGTCCAGCTGCCCCAGACCTCCATCCTTCCGCGGTAGACACGCCAGGTACGCGCTCCACAGGATGAATATTTTTTCTTCTGCCGCCTCCCCTGCCGATACGAACGCGTGACATAATTTCCTGATTTTTTCCCACGTCTCCTCCGGCGGCGAGTAGACTTGGGCCTGGAACATCAGTACTGGCAGGACATAGCAGCTAATCACTGCCACTCTTGCCGTGGTTGTTAGATATTGCGCTTCCCACTTCCTCAGCTCCTCTTTTATCCTTTCGTACACCCTCTTCCAGGATGGATCCGGGTCACCGTTGGGCGTTATCCACACCCCCAAGAGCCTCTCCGGCTCTCCCTGCTCCGACCATTTATACGGGACGTCTGCCGGCGCCGGCTCTCCCCGGTTGCTTCCCAGCGGTACCACCACTGACTTTTCACAATTCACCTTCAGCCCTGACTGTTTCCCGAAGGTGCCCAAGACCTCCACCACCTTCCGCAGTTGGGCTTCTCCATTCAGCAGAAATGATGTGTCGCCGGCGTATCCCACGTATGCAAGCGGCTCCTTCCCGACCGGTCCGATGCCCAGCTTCTCCCGCTGCGTGGCTCTGCATAACGGCTCGAGTGCGCAAAGAAACAGGTATGGCGCCAGTGGGCACCCCTGCCTGACCCCTCTGTTCATCTCCACCCTGTCGCTTAACCACCCATTAATTATGACCCTTGTCCCTGCGTCTGCATGCAGGCCCCTGGTCCAGCCGATGAAATTGTCAGGCACCCCCAGCTCCTTCATGACCCTGAAAAGGAAGACCCTCGAGACCGTGTCATAGGCCTTCTGGAAATCTACCAGCAGCAGTAGCCAATCTTCCTTGCCGCTGTTCGCTGCCTCCACCGCATCCGCTACCACTGATACTGCGTCCGCCAGGCTTTTCCCCGGTAAGAAGCCGTGCTGTTCTTTTGACAGGGCTTTGCCCAGCACTTTTTTGAGCCTTGTAGCCATAACTTTTGTAACCACCTTGTACATGACTGACAGAAGTGTGATGGGGCGGTAGTTCCCCAGTTGATCTGTTGGCCCCTTCTTATGCAGCAGGACGGTCACCGCTGTCGATAAGCTCTCCGGCATACTCGCCTTCCTGACGAATTCCCCGACAAAACTCATCACATGTGCTTTCAGCAGATCCCAGTGCAGAATGAAATATTCCGCGGGCAAGCCGTCCTGCCCGGGAGATTTCCTCTTCGGGAGGCTCTCCAGCGCCTGCTTGACCTCCTCCTCCGTCCAGTCTGCCCCAAGGAGCGCTGCATCCGTCTCCGAGAATCTGGCGCCTTCCGAGAAAGCCCCCCAGTCCACCTCTTCCTCTGGTAGCACCTCGCCAAAAGCAGCTTTGAAATGGTCCGCTGCCGCCTTCAGCACCTCCTTTGTCCCCTGGTACACCACTCCATGGTGAGAGATCTCGCGCACCACCGTCCGTCTCTTCCGTACCTTGATTCTGGCCGACAAGTATGGCAATGGGACTTCTCCGGTGAGCTCCACCTTGATTCCCGCTAACACCTGCATCCGATCTTTGCAGCTCTGGAGATAACCCCCTAGGTGCGCCTCCTTCCGCATCAACCTGTTTTGTGCTCTCTTGTCTCCCGGATATCGCATCACTTTGTGCCTCAGTCGCTCCACCACTACCTCCAGGTGCTGCACCGTCGCCTTCACCCTCTTTCGCTCCTCCCGTAAGTATTCTCTCAGGCCCATGCTGAGCAGTTTCAGCTTCTTTCCCAGGTCCATCTCTTCCTCGTTCTCCAATTTCTTAAGGATGTTAGCTGTCACCGTCTTAACTCCTCTCCGTCGTGCTTGCTTTGTCTGCATCCTCCACATGCCAGGGCCCTGATCTTCCGGCGCCGACACCGCGAGCGCTACCTTAATGCCGAACCAGTGGTCCGACAGCCCCCTTGGGATCTTGACGTGGCGCGCATCCGCCAGTAGCCCGAGCAACGAGAACGACACCAAGCTCCTGTCGATGCGAGTGCTCGCCTTTGTCGCCCTGTCTCTAAAGGTGTACTCCGGACGGCTCGGATGCAGGACCCGGAATGCGTCTCTGAGGTCCTCTGCTCTCCAGAAACTCAGCAGCCTTTGGTTTTCATTCCCCGAGCCCGAGCGCGATGTTTTGTCCAGGTCGGGGTCCTCCACTAGATTCAGGTCTCCCAGAACCACCAGGTGAGCGTGCGCCGGCTGAGCCTGGACAAACAGCGGGAGGCAGCTCCGGAAAAAGACTCCTCTGGCACACGGCTGCGCCGGGAGGTACATCGCTATCAGCCTGAAGGAGATCTGCGGGCACGACACCGTGACTCCCACCAATCTCCCCGACGGGTGAGTAATTGCCTCTGTGAGCTTAATCTCCTCATTGAAAGACAACACCGCCACCCTTCCTGCTCGTTCACTGTTTCCCACCACCGCTACCGAGGCGGGTTTCAAATGCGTCCAGAAATTGTGATCTCCTCTGATTCTCGTGTCTGTGAGCACCACCACGTCTGCAACTGTTCTGATCCACTTTGCGTGTGCAGTTCTTTTGCCGT